TCTTTCTCTCGTTTTCTCCTTCTCTTCCTCCTCCCCTCCCCTCCCCCGTCTCTTCTTTCCCTCCCCCCCCGTCGCCTCACACCCGCTCCTCTGCATTGCATTGGCACGACTGACGCCGGCGAGACAACCCACCCGCCTCTCTGCTCTTGAGGAGGAGGAAGAGGAAGGACGTCAGGGGAGAGCAAGACCAGGCGGCTCGGGCATCGCGAGCTGGGCGTCCCAAGTACCTCTGGCCGCTGCCACTGACAACCCTCTCCGTTCATCCCCATCCTCTCGGGAGCCTATGCCCCAAGCAGAAGCCCAGAGGATCCCATGGAGGTGCCAGCCTGGAGGAGCCTCTAAGCGGTGTCATGGTCCAAGGGGCACTGCGGAGGCGAAGGTCCAGTTCCAAGCGAGAGTGGAGATAGCGCCCTGGTAATAAGCGCATCACCTGCCGCCGTCGGTGTGGGCGGCAGCCAAGCAGCCAAGGAGAAGAGCCCACCTCGCCCTGGGCGCAGAAGCCCATCTCCCTCCCCTCTTGCTTTCCGTGCTGCTCATCTTATTTTTGTTCCCCTCCCCAACCCCCTCCTCGTTTTTTTCCAGGCGTGTGGTAGGTCTTGGCAAGCCCTTCCTTACCCCTCACTCACCCTCACCTCCCCCCACCCACCCATCCACCCGCTGGCACCCGCGTCCCTAGCCGAGCCAGGCAGCCGACGGCGCGGGCATCATGGCGACGCTCATCCGCAGCAAGATCTCCAACGTGGCCACCTCGGTTTCCAACAAGTCCTCGGCCAAAGTCAGCGGCATGTTCGCCCGCATGGGCTTCCAGGCGGCGACGGACGAAGAAGCGGTGGGCTTCGCGCACTGCGATGACCTGGACTACGAGCACCGGCAAGGGCTGCAGATGGACATCTTGAAATCCGAAGGGAGCGAGGAAGGGGGAGAGCCGCCCCTGGAAGGGGACATCCACTACCAGAGAGACGGCACCGGGCCCCTGCCTCCCTCCGCCTCCAAGGAACAAGACGTCTGCTCCGAGGTCTCCGGCCACGGGAAGCCCAGGATCACAGCCTGGGAAGCCGGCTGGAATGTCACCAACGCCATCCAGGTAAACCGTCCTAGCCGCCCACCCATTCCCCTTTCTCCGCGATTGGATCCTGGCTCTTCGGAAGCCAAAGGCGGACCTCTTGTTGCCGTCGACTTCCATAGTGCCAAGGTGCCCTCCTTGGCCATGGCTTGGGGGCCCCATCCTGCTCAGCTACTTTCCAGCCCTACACAGTCACACGGGGGAGGGGGAACGGATCCCACAACACCGATCCCTATACATGAAGAATAGGTGATAGATGTGTGTGGGCGATGGTGCATTCTTGGTGAGTTGCAGGCTTAAGAAACAGGCTGTGCTGTAATTGTATTTGCGCTCCACACTGAAGATTACTTTATCAATTAACCACCACTCTTTCCTCCTTCCAGAGAGGATAGTTAAAGGAAATCAGCCAAAGCCTGGTTTTCCCTTTCCTTCTCCCCTGATTCCCTCTCTGGCTCTCCCAAACCTCAAATCAGTTCAAGCTCGCATCTGAAGTGATGATCTTAATCCCTGTCATTCCTGTAGTCTGTCTCAAATCTGAATCGAGTCGAAAATATTTTTTTAAAAAAACAATTCCAGACGATCTCTCGTTCGTCTTAAGGCAAAGCCAAGAAGGGTCTTGTGACTCTTTAAAGACGAACACATTTGATTGGGCATTAGCTTCATGGACTGTATCCCACAAAACCATGTACAGTATCTTAAAATGTGTTAGTCTTCAAGGTGCCACTGGATTCTTTACCTATTTTGTCTCAACATTCCAACCTCTGTTATTGATGATAAGAAATTCGAAGTCCAGACATTATTCTGGATCATAAAAGGCTGTGGTCTTATATATGCTGCCTCCGAATTACACAACCACGCCACATCATCCCCCCTCCTTGATGAATTTGTTTTGATAGTACATAGCACCACGTCTGACGGGGTTCTGGAGATCAGTATGAGCGAGGCAACAGATGGTCCAAACGGAGACCCTGTTCCTTCCCCTAGGCGCTTGCCACTCTTTTTTCGTCATGTTCTGTTCATTCAGCTAGAGACACTGGAAGGAGAAAAAACAAACAAACCACAGACAGCCCTCACCCACTTTCTTTTTCTCTTTCTCCTTTCTTTTCACTGACTTGGTAAACAAAATAACGTATAGGATTCAGCCCTCTGTACCTATACCTGGGAGAAAAGCCCCATTAAACTCAATGGAATTTACTTCTTAGCAGACATGTATAGGATTGCAGTGTTAATGAGTGTAACTGGCAAAATCTAACTCTCCAATGAGCATCCTGGAGTTTAGAATATAATTATTAGAGAAAGTACAGGTGGATAAAGAGAATTCCTTTTGTGAGATCCTAAACACATAACATCATGAAAATACATCCAGAAATACCTCTGCGTTTTTCTCTGTGAATCAAACCTGCAGTACTTTAGATCCGACAAGAAGGCAGTGATATTGATTTGCTCCTAATAAGCAAAGCACACTGCTTATATACCTCCCCATAGCTCTTAAAGCACTCTCTGGGCGATTTGCAATTAGTTGTGCAGGTTATGCATTACTAATCTAAACTGTATTTCTGCATTTGTGATCAATGTTTTTCCTTCATTGTTTAAGGTGGGGGGAATAGGAAACTCCCCGGGGGGACTTCTTTTCATTTGAGAACATGACCTTCAGATTTTTGCCAGTTAAGATAAAATGAAAAATGTGTTCTTATCTATAGTTCATTCCCACCCCAAGGGGTGGTGGTTCAGATATTTTCAGCAGTCTTTATTGGATTTCATACTCAGCTAAGCTTATACAAAAATATTATCTGCAAAGGTTCTGTTCTACTGAACACCAGTAACCATTTACAACAGAGTAGGCCCATTGAGAATGCCATGGGGCACATTTTGGAGAAGGTAGGCTTTTTACTGCACATCATCTTGTAATGAGACAATCCAGCTAGTGTACTGAGTTCACATCCCTTGAATTGGTTTGATATTTAAATTAAGTAGTCCAATTAGGTACATTTGCTTCCCCAACTCTCAAAAGATCACATTTACAATATAATCTTAAAAGCCAGCAAACCCCCACATCCACCTCTTTTGGCAGAATTGCAGGCTTGGGGGGGGGTAGGTAATTATCCTTCAAATGATGATTTCTAGCAATTTGGAGAATTGAAACATTAGCAGCCTCTCCATAGTGTCCCAAGTACTGTAAAAATTAAAAGCATAGTGGGTCAGAAGATGAGATGCAAAAGAAACAGGAAATGAGACAGGATGGAAATAAAGATATTTGTCAGCTAACACAGATAAAAAAAATCCCTACCATTTCATTAAAACATGCAGAATGATTTTGAGATATGCTGATTTTCCCATTTCCCTCTTAAGAAAACCAAACAAAATGGAGTCACATTTCAGTTAAAATATGGTGTTTTTTTCCATACCTAGCATGCATACTTTGATGTGAGTTCCATTGCATTTAATACTGCTTTATAATTGCATATCTTCAAGTGAATTCTGATTTATGGTGGCTCTTTCCAGGGTTTTCTACATAGAGAATCCTCAGAAGTGGATTAATATTTCCTTCTTCTGGGGGTGCCTTGAGACTGTGTAACTTGCCCAAGGCTATCCAGGCTGGCTCTTTCCCCAGGGGCACAATGGGGAATTGAACTGCCAGCCTTTGACTCCACAGCAGATACGTAAACCACTGAGCTTTTAAATGTATTTAATACATTCAATGCAATGTATTTAATACATTTAATACACTGTCCATTAAATGTATTTATGACTATAGCAGCAAAGATTTGATTTTATATTTTCTGAAAGCATTTAGTCTTTAAAAATAATTATATCCTTTCAATCACATATTTATTATATGATATACTATATTACACTAATTTTTATGCCAATTTAAAGTAGATTCTGTAGCTCTGTTTTAGTTGCATAAGGATTTTACAGATGTATTAACTGCCTGTTTTTCAAGAGATTTTATATGCAGGAAAGTGAAGCATAAGCTTTCTCCTTGAGATTTGTATCTTAAAGCCTGGATTCCCCCACCCCCACCCCCAAATACATTGAATAGCAAAAACTAGATTCCTGCTGTCTGCTTTGGTGCATGTACTGGGAAAATCAGCTGTCGCTTGCTAAATAAAATGAGCAACCCGGTCTCCATTTTGTCTCTCTCTAGGGGATGTTTGTTCTTGGTCTGCCCTATGCTATACTTCATGGTGGATACCTAGGACTCTTTTTAATTATTTTTGCAGCAGTGGTTTGCTGCTATACTGGGAAAATCCTCATTGCCTGTCTCTATGAAGAGAATGAAGATGGGGAGATAGTCAGGGTGAGAGACTCCTATGTGGACATTGCAAATGCTTGCTGCGCTCCCAGGTTTCCCTCCCTTGGGGGCAGGATTGTGAATGTGGCTCAGATCATAGAGCTGGTCATGACCTGCATCCTCTATGTTGTGGTCAGTGGCAACCTAATGTACAACAGCTTCCCAAACTTGCCGGTCTCCCAGAAATCTTGGTCCATCATTGCAACAGCAGTGCTCCTGCCTTGTGCTTTCTTGAAGAACCTCAAGGCTGTCTCCAAGTTCAGCTTACTCTGCACCTTGGCTCATTTTGTGATCAACATTTTAGTAATTGCCTACTGCCTCTCCAGAGCCCGTGACTGGGCATGGGAAAAAGTCAAGTTTTACATTGATGTGAAGAAGTTCCCCATCTCCATTGGTATCATTGTCTTCAGCTACACCTCCCAGATCTTTCTGCCTTCCTTGGAAGGGAACATGCAGAACCCCAAGGAATTCCACTGCATGATGAACTGGACTCATATAGCTGCTTGCATCCTGAAGGGACTTTTTGCATTGGTAGCCTACCTGACGTGGGCTGATGACACCAAGGAAGTCATCACAGACAACTTGCCCTCCACTATTAGGGCTGTTGTTAACATTTTTTTGGTGGCCAAAGCCTTGCTCTCCTACCCATTGCCCTTCTTTGCAGCTGTGGAAGTCCTGGAGAGATCCCTCTTCCAAGATGGAAACAGGGCCTTCTTCCCCAATTGTTATGGTGGTGATGGGAGGCTCAAATCTTGGGGGCTCACTCTTAGATGTGCCCTAGTAGTTTTCACCTTGCTGATGGCCATTTATGTCCCCCATTTTGCCCTCTTGATGGGCCTCACAGGCAGCCTCACAGGGGCAGGCCTCTGTTTCCTCCTTCCTAGCCTCTTCCACCTCAAGCTGTTGTGGAGGAAGCTTTTGTGGCACCATGTTTTCTTTGATGTGGCTATTTTTGTAATAGGTGGTATATGCAGTGTGTCTGGGTTCATTCACTCTTTAGAAGGTCTCATTGAAGCTTTTAGAACCAATACAGAAGATTAAAGGATGGACTGAACTGGTTGCATTAGAGGGTGGGGGAGAGAAAGAAAGAGAATCACACAGAACATCTACATAGCTATGTGATGATGCATTCCACCCCCCCCAAAAAAGGAGAAATGATATTATTTTAGTTAAGTTTAGTCCCCAACAAATTTTATCACAAAGTTTCCAAATCAAATGCTTATTGTGCAAATTTTTAAAATAAGTTAAATATATATTTTGTATTATTTAGATATTAATAGAGAGAAGATATTTAAAATATTTCTTTTTCATTCAGTAGTCTGAACTCTAATCTTTCTATGGGAAGTAAATTGCTCTATTTGGTAATTGTAAGAGGTTTCATGGTAATATTTTTGCAAACTGTATGCAATTCAGTCTCTCTATAACTCCCTATATACAGTATGTCAGTCCAACTGCTCAGTGTTACAGCGCTGGAGCATACAACCTGGTGAACCTTAAGTGGCCTAGATTGTATGAGCAACAAGCTAAAATGACTGTGAAGGCCAATGATGAGTCTAGCAAGCAGTAGTGTTTACACTGTATACTAAAACAACCACTAAAAACGGCTTAATACTTCCATACTAACTACACATCCAATATCAGAGCTTCCCACTTTAATTAAAAATCACTTGGTCTACAGATGAGACTAAGTTCCGTTCCAGATCAGGATGTTTTTTTTTAGTTCTAAATTACAACATCAGTGAGTAAATAGTTGGATTTGAAAAACATTATGGAGCAAAACACACACAAGAAAATCATTCTGTGCAACCACCAGATCTGTGGAGCTGTTTCAAATGTATGTGTGGTGTAATTGTGGTAAATAAGATGACAAATGTATATCAGAAAATTTATCTTTAACATATAATGTGGTACATAAATATATCAAACAATAAAGAGAAACCATAACAACTGTGGCTGGTATGGTTTGTTCCGGGGAAACACAATGCTAACACTTAAATAGCTCTCTGGTGTGTTCAAAACATTGCACACAGTCTCATTGCAACAATGCCCTAAGCCTATGCACGTATCTGGGAATACCTCTGAAAGAATGCAGTTTTATTGGAGTTTTATTCTGGGTAGACAGATACGGAATGACACAGGAAGGAAGGTCGGTGTTATTGCAAATACAAGGTAGAGGCTGAGAAGCCAGTTGTTGAAGTCATACCTGTTGTGAGTTCACAGAAATGCTGGTGACTTATTAGTTTACACACAGCAAAGCCCAATACATAATTAACTGCATTTATAGTTCTCCCTTTCTCCAGCAAGCCTGGAGTGATGTATAAGGCTTCCCCCCTCATCCCCACAACAGCCCTGTGAGAAAGGCCAGGGTTGGGAGACTTTGGCTGGCTCAAGGCCACCCAGTATGTTTTATGCCTGAGTAGGCATTTGAATCCATGTCTCCTGGGCCACAGCCCAACACTTAAGCACTACATCACATTCAGAGGTGCACCCCATTGATTTCAGTCAGACCTACTCCTTTATATCTGTGAAGATTCTCAGTCATCCAGGTGAGTTTATCTGGAAGTTGAGTCAGGGCAACTAGAATCCTTTCTTATTAGGTTGAAATGTTTTGCTATTTATCCAAGTAGCTTCTTCAGTACCTACTCCTTTGTGTGTGGGCACAAGATTATAGCCCCAGTCTCTTATCTAGTCCTTAACAGTAGTACCTTTCTAAGAAACCTTCTGGCCCTTCAGATCTTTTGGACTTCAACTCTCCAGTGCATGAGGAAAAGCATTTATCCAAGCTTTGGCTTGGCCATCTTCTAGCTGTTCGTCACCGATGTCTACGTTTTCAACCTCACAAGTCATTCTTCGATTTTTACACTCACTTATTTTTTTTACTACTTCTACTGTGTATATCTTTTTCACAGCCTTGCCTCACCACAGCAGTGTGAAGGAGGTTTCTAGTATTCTCATTTTACAGATGAGAAGCCAAAGCTGAAAGGGAATGTGCTATGTTGGGAATCCAAACTCATGTCTGCCAGGTCTAAGAAACGAAAAGACACATAAGAATCATCCTATTGAAGAGCTATTTCTGGACTGTACCACTGCGGATGACAGGTAAGGGAAAAACAGGATTGACTTTTCCTCTCAGTAACTACGCTCTGTCTTTAGGGTAAGCTAACATGTTCAGAGAAAAAGTGAAAAATTTGGTGTTCTTTCTGAAATGTTAGGCTGTATATTTTTAAAAGACGTGGCTGGTTTTGTTTTGGCTTGGCTTCCCTTTTCCCACAGTTAAATCTTGCAAGTACACATGCTAGTTCAGAATGCTCTTAATAAAATTCTCTTTTGTTGTATAATAAAGACCTAAAATGAAATGCCAAAAGACATAGTCATTCAGATGTTTTCATGTTTGCATTTTCCTACTGACTTTCTTATCCAGTTTCTCTGACATCAGATGTGCATATCAATATAGGAAAAATCAAAGGAATTCATTTTGAGGCCCGAATTTTCATGGGGCTGGAGTCCAACTCAATTTCCAGTTTGGTGTTTGAGTTGGCCAATTTATGGACTGTAAGATTAATTATAGCTGTTGGTGATAAGATAATGTTTAACAAAGAGATTTGTTTTCATGAATTCAAATATGAACATTTTCCTGAAATACTGATGTAATACTGGACTCATGTAAATTTTAAACTCTTCCATCTGTTGAGAAATGGGGGGTGGTGGTTACTCATTTTTTTCAGGTTGATTTATAAAGTGAAGGGATCTCAAAACATAAATGCCATGATAAAATAGAAACAAAATTGTCAGGGGCATCTACTAAAGATGACATGCATGTTTGATAGGTCCTGGGTATTGTAGCCTACCTACAGGACCTTGAAGGTGGGATTTTAAAAAAATACAACAAATTGCAAGTCTGACTCAATGCCATCCAAATGTGATGGAAAGACTACATTGCAATGACATGTACAAAAAAAAAAGACATTTGTTTTCAGATGTAGCATAATGGAGTTATAACCGAAGTACACTCTCGCTGAGGACAATTAAGAGAAGGAAAGGCTGCTCCTATTCCTTCAGTCATCTTGTTAGTTTGCAATCCTACACACCAGCCTTCTCCAAGTCAGTGCCTTGGGAGGGGAAGATGACCTGGTGGGGGCTGAAGTATGGCTCAGCTAGAGTAACCCTAGTTGGAGAATGCTGCTATAAGTCCCTACCTTTGTTTTGTGAGTAAGTAGCATTGAACACAATGGAGTTTATTTCACAGGATGGATACATAGGGGTGCCCTATTGTGATCTTCCACTAATTTTACAAGCCACTTGAATAAGTGGTTTTAACTTTAATTTGCATTTAACAGAATTTGAAATAGCAACCCCTAGTGGGCAACTAGGTGCTGCCCACTGCTACAAAATAGACATAAGAGTTCCAGCATATTGAATGTTTGTGCAATCATGGTTTAATAGATTATATGGCCATGGCAGACCATTGGCCAAATGGCAGCCACTTCACTTCTCCAAAATTTTAAAAAGATGCTCTTAGCCTGGTTCCAGCTGGCTAAGCATTGTGCACTGTAAGAGGCTTGGCATGTGATGATGACAACAATGTATGTGTTCACTTTTACTTGGGTAATTTGGTGGAGCGTAGTGGTTACAACTTTGGGTCCCCAGATGTTCTTGGATGTAGTGGTTACCAACTTTGGGTCCGCAGATGTTCTTGGACTGCAACTCCCGGAAATCCTAGCCAGCACAGCTAGTGGTGAAGGCTTCAGGGAGTTATCCTCCATGAACATTTGGGGACACCAGGTTGGGAACCACTGGGTAAGAGGGATGGATAGGACTCAGTCGGCTTAGATTCGAACCCTTGCTCAGCCATGGAAACTCAGTGGGAGGGTATGAGGGTAGCACCTGTAAAGCCACTCCTTAAACACCTGACTTACCTTGAAAGTCCTGTTAAATCGCTTTTGACTTGACAAGCACATAATAACATTAACCACAGAATTTTTTAAACTTCTTATTTTACTTTCCATGCCTCTCCTGCCAAAAGAACCTACCTCAAATACTGCTATCTAATTATGTACTACAGTAGCTTCCTGCAGTACTAAAAGTTAACTCTTACAAACAAGGTAAGAATGTGCAGTAGTTTGGAGGCTCCAGGCAATTTTTTTCTCCGGTCTGGAAGAAGATTAGAAATACTGCCTGCTAGTCTGTTTAAAATAAAATAACGCTGCAGTTCTGTATCTACTTATCTGGGACGAAGTCTCACCAGGACCTGCTCCTCAGTAGGTAAGTAAGAATTGCCTGTTAAATAGTGATGCAATAGGGTCCGCATGTTACTGATACCTGAAGATAATGATGTGTATGGATGGATCTATACAACCGTATACCATACTCTATAATATACTGGAGTGTGTGAATAGGGTGTTACGATGTATTATCTTGGGAATGACGAACATACTTTATGCGTGCAAGGAAGGGGGTTCTTTCCTATGAACACCGACACCGCAATGACGTCCTTGAAATAACCCCCCACCGAAGACAATAAGACTTACTTCCAAGTAAACAACCAGTGGATCGTGTACCGGGTGATCCCACGCTGATTGAAATTCCGCGGAGTGTTTCCTGCCTGTTTTGGGATGTGTACATGTTTTTTTAACTTCCCCATGTTTTATTTCATTCACGTAGCTTTTACAGTCCCATTAAATGGTCGATCTTCTGTCTGCCTCTGACGTCACACGGGGTGATCCCACGCTGATTGAAATTCCGCGGAGTGTTTCCTGCCTGTTTTGGGATGTGTGCATGTTTTTTTTTTAACTTCACCATGTTTTATTTCATTCACGTAGCTTTTACAGTCCCATTAAATGGTCGATCTTCTGTCTGCCTCTGACGTCACACGATGTGACCCGCACAATTACACTCAATTAAACTATTCCCCGGGCCTCCGCCCATGACGATCATCATTGCAGTCGTTCGCAACACCTTTTCTTCCGGAACGTGACGACTCCTAAAAGCATACTAATGTGAGCGTTGACCTTGTTCTGGTTCCTGAAAAGGACAGCCAGCTTTTTACTTCCTAACAGGCAGACATCTTGCAAATAAACCTGATACGAAACAGTGCAGTATTTGGGAGCAGATAGTGGCAGGGGCATTTGAAAAGAGGTTAAGCGCAGTCGAAACTGCCTTCAGGGCGAAATAGGAAACATTAGGCTGTCCTCTCATGACATCCAAAGCCTAAGGTTTTGCATGTCATGAAAGGGCAGCCTATTGTTACTTATTTTCTTTGCGGTTCTTGTACTTCTACTGGCTGGGAAGGGGGATGTAAGGTGCCCAAAATAACTCTCTTGCCTTTGGTAGGATCCAGCTGTCTCTGAGTGACGGCTGCTGCTGTGCCTCGGGCGGCGATTTCTCTTGGGCACTTTGCCGTTCTTGTACTTTTACTGGCTGGGAAGTGGGATGTAAGGTGCCCAAAATAACTATCTTGCCTTTAGTAGGATCCAGCTGTCTCTGAGTGACTTGTGCAAGGTGATGGTTACGGCTGTGCCTCGGGCGGCGATTTCTCTTGGGCCGACACTGACTGCCATGGGGTCCCCGAAGTTAGGCTTGCCTTCTGAACCTGTCCTTGGGGCCATCCGTGGGGAGAAAATTACTTGCAAATGTACAGCAGGAATGTGTGTGTGTGTGTGTGTAAAGCTGGTCAAGTTGCATCCTCAGCATTAGAGGAACGAAATTTGTCCTGATTTATCCCGAGAGTAATTTCTGAAGCGCAGAGATTTGTTTTGAACTAACCAAAGCCAAGGGCGCGCGCGCGCGTGCGTGCGTGCGTGTGCGTGTGTGTCTTTAACAGTGTCGTTAACACGGAATAATCTTCCTATTGATCTTCCGGACAGATTTAATTCCGAGCTCTCTTTGTATTAAGCGGGGATGTTGCTTCTTTGAGATCTTCTTCAGAGGAAGGCTAGCCAGCGTGTGTT